TAAAATGGGCAATCCAATGACTGTTCTTTTCATTCTGTCCTGCTTTCTTTTATAAATTTGCGAGTTATATCAGAGATGTAACTGCAGGTAGAAGAGCAGTGAAGCATGTCTAGCACGCTATTTTTCGTCTATTTAGAAAGAAGTTTCATGAAGTAAGTGCCGGAACTTTGCTTCGCGTGTGATCAACGAGCATTGTTCACTCATATAACCCATCTAGTAAATAATGGTATTTTATTGTCAGAAAGCAACCGCTCTAGTATTCAAACTTCTCCAACCCCAGTATGCTGATAAAATCACTTCTCGCATTAATTCAGGAGCAACGTTGGATAATGCAAAAAACAAAGCTTGTTAGCACAGCCCCTCTGGGGCTGAAATGTGGAACTTACATATGTTCTTCAGCTTCGTTATATTAATACGAAATACAGAAGGTGAAAAATAAAGAATTTTTTATTTTTCGTTTTCTGATGGGCGCCCTATTTTTTGCTTTCATTGTTACTATTCGTTCATTATTTTTTTTATTTTTTTCTAATTCGTTTTTCTTCATTTATCATTCTTATTATTATAATCATTGAACTGATTGACAAATAAGTGTGTTTTACATATCTATGATATCTACAGCAGATCTTACACACTATGATATACATTAATGAAGTCACAAATAATGATTTTGATTATTTTTTAAAATATTAACAGGTGTCTATAATTGGGGCCTACATTGCTAAGTGTCTGTAATGGGGGCTTCGGTTGCTATGGTGTCTGTAATGGAGAGGGGTGAGCCGCGAAAACTTGAACTTAAAACTTACACTCACTATTTTCTTCGAAAATATATATGTGAGTTCCACAAAAGTAACGATTCAGGTTGTATACAGGTGCGGAAAAACACAACAGCCGTTACTTTTTTTATTTCTTTGATAGAGCAGCCAAAGTATCAATCGCCCAGCTAATTTGCTAAAAGCTGGATTTTTCAGTACCATGATGCAAACATGCATAATATTCAGGATGTATCAAAAGTAGTTGAGACGACTGATATAACTCTCTAGACTAACGCTAATCGAGTCTTACGCCAATGTATATTTGAGCTAATACTATCTGTGTCACCGAAAATCGCAGAAATAAGTGACTTTCTGCAAATATGTATAACATTTTTCCAATTAAGGAAATCCATCCTCTTTCTGAGCCTAAAAGTGTCTTGAAATATCCTCTGATTGGTGAGAATATTTCGTAAACAGAAACTCAGTTTTTTCAAGCTAAACAAACATGAAAAGCAAAAAATCTTGAGACCTATTTTTTCAAAGATATTTCAGAGTTTTCTCTCTTTCTCCCACGCACTACACAACTGATAGAACTGAAAATTCTCTGTAATATCTGCGAGCAAATAAGTGTGCATGTTTTCCATTTCATTCAAGAATATTGTAAATGTATCTGAATAATTTTCGATGTCCTGAACATTGACCCAATGATCTTGGCTTGTGATTTTATTAATTTGTCGAGCATATCTGACTAAATTGAATTTTTTGAGAAGGCTTCTGTTTGGTATATAGAGTACTGTAACGAAGATGATAACTTTTTCAATCAAGAGCAATCGGAGAAAGAAGCTTTAGTATGGTTATATCAATGTATCTTCGTTTTTTTTAAATTCAAAGTAAAATATCTTATTTTGCTAGACGAAACCTTTAAGTCAACGCCTTTCGATGCTCACTTTTCTGCACATAGATTTTCGGACATTATTCTTTTCCACCAAATCAATACATACTAGAATAAAAACACGAAGCGTTCGTGCAATACAAACTATCCAGAAACGGAATGGACTCAGACACACTACGTCTTCAATCTCTTGGATACAAACAAGAACTGAGTCGAAATTTCAATCGCCTGACGAACTATGGAGTAGCTCTTTCGGTCGTAAGTGTTTCATCGGGTATTTCGTCTTTATTTGCGTATGGAATGGTAACCGGTGGTCCCGTTGTCATGATCTGGGGATGGATCTTTGTTGCCATTCTTACTCTTTGCGTTACTCTGAGTATGGCCGAAATATGTTCATCCTATCCGACATCCGGCGGTCTTTATTACTGGTCTGGTATTCTAGTGCCAAAAGAGTACAAACCACTTGCTAGTTGGTTTACTGGGTGGTTTAATCTAGTTGGACAATTTGCAGTTACGGCTGCCATCGATTTTGGACTTGCATTGCTTGTAGCAAGTGTTATCTCTGTTGGTCTTAACTTGCAATGGTCGCCTCGCCCATTTCACATAGTTCTCATTAATTTGGGTATAGTAGTCACTCATGGACTATGCAATACCATGGGACCTCGTTTACTTTCATGGCTGACGCACGTATCAGTGTGGTGGCAGTTGTTTGCACCAATTATTGTCTCTCTTGCTCTACTCATCGGCATGAAACCCGGCCATCAAACAGTTTCGTTTGTCTTCACTAAATTCGAAAACTACACTAATTGGTTAAGTACAGTAAGTTTATCCGTTTAACTAACTATTTTTAGTTTATATTCTCATTTCTCAGGGCTATGTAGTCTTAATTGGTCTCTTACAAGCTCAATACTGTCTTTCTGGCTATGATGCCGCGGCACATATGACCGAGGAGACCAAGAACGCTGATGTGGCTGGAGCGTGGGGTATGATCGGTGCTGTTGTTGTTTCAGCTGTCACTGGCTGGCTTTTTCTCGTTGCATTTTTCTTTGGAATTCATGACTATGAAGCTACAGTGCATTCACTAACTGGATTTCCTATGACACAAATTCTGCTCGATAATTTTAGCAAAAAATTAACCATATTTTTCATGTGTCTTATTCTTGTGGCCTGTTGGTTCTGTGGTCTTGCATCAGTCACAGCCAATTCTAGGATGATCTATGCATTCAGTCGAGATCATGCAATGGTGAGTTATTTCTTGATTGACATTTGATCGTGATGAGGAGTATCCCGCGGATGACTCAATCTGCTAGACGATATGAAGATTTCAGTTGATTTTCTACGATATATCCTGTAACTCCGAGCGGCATCTTTTTTTCAAATTAGACTTTCGATCATACTCAATGAATCGTGTATTTTTAAATTACAGGTGCACAAAGACTTTGCAGAATATCGTATTCATTCTTATACGGATATGAACTATCAAAAGAAATAGCTTTTCGACGAAGTCCTTATTTTTAGAAAGTTGGGGCTCTTTGTAGAGGAATGGAAATTTCTAAAGGTTTTTAGACTACTGACCAGACGAGTTACCTGTCGATAAAAGATCTGAGCCCCAGTCGAATCTAAACAAATAGAGTAAGCTCAAAAATAGTAACGAATCTCGATTTTAAAGTTTTATTTCAGTACCTCCCGCGGTGCTCAGTGTGCATTGATTAGCTGAACATAGTTTGACGCTCGGCAAACTGATACTCAACCAAAAAGAAAAGAAATCAGCCATTTGTATGAGGATTTGAAAACTTAACTGCTTTGTGAGGAAGTTTCGTAGAGCGCATCAATATTTTGCATCTACAGATAGAAAAGAGTCGATATTAATTGAATGGCCTGTATTTTTTTTTCGGCTGCTAATTTTATTGGGTACTCATTCAATGCTAATTTTTTTCCGTTGACTAGCCTGGCTCTCGTTGGTGGCACAAAATCCATCCTCGTCTTGCTTGTCCTCTTTATGCTGTTTGGTTATCATGTTTCGTTGCATTTATTCTTTGTCTTCCGTATTTGGGAAACTCCACAGCATACTCTGCAATCACGAGTCTTTCCACAATTTGCTTATATACTTCATACATTCTACCTATTGTGTGCAAAACTATCTTCCCTCGTTTGTTTGTGCGTGGCCCATTTCATCTTGGTCGTTTTTCAAAACCGATTAATATTATAGCTATTATCTGGGTATGCTTGATCACTGTTCTTTTTGTTCTTCCACCCGTACATCCAGTCAATGCGAGCACTATGAATTATGCATCAGTAGGCGTTGGAGTCGTTGTTATTTTAAGTGGACTCGGTTATATATTATCGGCAAGACATTGGTTTCAAGGACCGATTACCAATTTAGGTCTCGATGAAAAAGAGGCAGAAATAATCATGATGCGGTTTTAGTGTTCTTTCTCGTACTGTAAAAAATGAAGATGAATTACCGAACTTAAAAAAGCTTCAGCAAGAAGTTTAACAAGCTGCTCAATTAGGACAGCTTCTTCTTCAGAACACACAGAAAGAAACCTCCTTCGAGACATTTTTACTTTCATAGGCGTAACGATTGCTTTGGTACAAAAACTTCGGAAACGTTTTGAGTTCCATAGAATATCTCGATGTTACATGTAAAACCCACATAGGTGAAGTAATCACGAGATTCGAGTATTTCCAGCCTGGATTCGCTCGGGAACTTGTTCCAAATCTCATATTCTTGCTCCAAACACAACTCGACGAGCTCTAGCCAATGGTATACTCTGATTTTCCATAACCCGAACTATAATTTTCAGGCTTTGTACAGCGCGATCTATAGTCCCAAAATCATACTTTAGACTGTGGCAAATCTGAGTGTATCGTTGGATAGAGCTCGTCGAGTTCTGCTTGGAACAAGTTCCTGAGTGAATCCGGGCCTGGAAATACTCGAATCTGGTGATAACTTCAACTACGTGTAAAATCCTCGGAACTTTCTACTAACTTCGAAGATCTAGAAATATTTATGCGAAACCTTTTTCCGCTTAC